CCGGCCTAATTTTTGATCGTCGCTCTTAGCCAATCAAAATCGAGAATCTGCCGGTCCAAATTGTTGCGGCAGCTATGGTTAATAGGCTCTCTAATTTTGAGCGAAGATATCTCGATAATCACACAGCTATATTCGATGGAGTTTTTTTTTATTTGAATTCTATGAATCTATAGAATTCAAAAAAAAAATGTTTTATCGAATTTGGCCAGACAAAGTTCGGAGAAATTTGGCGTAGCTTCTATTTTGATAGACTCTAATTTTGAGCGAAGATATCTCGATAACCACATGGCTAAATTCGATGAAATTTTTTTATTTGAATTCTATGATCCATAGAATTCAAATATAAAGTTTTATCAGATTCAAGCAGGTAGTTGTCGAGTTATCCTCGCTCAAAATTTTAAGATTTTTAGTTTTATCGGGATCTGCGTGTCGATCAGCATCAAAAAAGTAGGTACAGGTGTATCAAAAAATGATTGTTTTGCTCCTCATTTATTCTTCGTCACGTGAGTATATCCACGTGAATATGAAATTGTTATGAGCACGGCAGAAGAAAAAAGGTGATAAAGTGGAACACTATTCCCATCATATATCTTCATAATGTTTGTGAGGATAATATATATAAATTTAGGTTTAAAAATTTCAAATGCGCTGTAATTAAATTTTTTTTATTAATTCTAAATTTATACCGATTGAAAAAATGACATGTCATTTTTAAATTTTCGCTCTTTTCGATTTTGTTAGATCGATGAATTTTGCTTTGTTCGTGAGTTTTCATGAATCCGTGAATCCGTGAGTCTCATTTATGCATATATCCTGCATATAATAAACAGCTAACAATTACAAATAATTACTGTATTATATGCAGAATTTATACATACTGAGTCCCTGTACACGGACCCTATTTTTTATTTACATGATCCTTATATATAGATAACTTTAAGAATAGGAACTGTGCATAGGGCTTGCTAAAACACATATAGAAATGCCGACCATCCAAAATGTTGTTCTTGATGCATAATTATTAACAATAGTAAAATAAGAGAATTCTATTAGCTATTTATGCTATTGATTTTTTTTAATATATTACTTCTATTTAGATAAATCAAAAACGACATTTTGGATGACCGGCATTTACTATGTGTCGTTTTAGCCCTGTTTTGAAAGTGGATTTTAATAACTTAGGGGTGATGTAATATTTGATCTTGTTAATATCATATTATAGTGTTATATACATATGTTGTGCCCTACTGGTAGGGATGTTAATCAGTCCCGCAGTAATTGTAGTCGACTTTGAGAAAAAATTGGCATTTTAAACCAGCATTCGTCCAATAAATAAAGTCAGAAAATTAAATTTTTTTCTGTTCTAATAGAATTTTATCGGTTTTTGCATTAGTTTTTGAGTAATTTAGATGGGACCGATTAGGGACCGATTAGCTAAATTTTCTCCACACTGTTCGGTCCCATCTAAATTACTCAAAAACTAATACAAAAACCAATAAGCTTCTATTAGAACAGAAAAAAAAAATTTTTCTATGACTTTACTTATTGGACGAATACCGGTTAAAAATGCCAATTTTTTATAAATCTTGCTCAAAGTCGGCTGACAACTGCTGCGGGACCGATTAACATCTCTACCTGCTAGGAGTTGCTGCATTAATGATTAACTGTGAAAGGGTATATACCTGATACTGTACATACGACGTACATAGTCTTTCCACAATGTGGCATTATCGCTCTTTTACGATTTAGTTGGATCGACGATCTGCATAAAATTTTTTTTTGAGTCCCGGGAGACTCATTTTAGAATTCTTATACCTTTTTGATAAATAAATTTTTTTAAAAAATACGGCGAACATACTTAAGTTATGTATTCACGAACTCAAAAACATTGTGCAGATCGTCGATCCAACTAAATCGAAAAGAACGAACAAAATGGATTAACAAATAGAATGTAACAATAAACATTATTTGTATATTCATTGTGTTGATAAAAAAAAAAAAAAGTATAAATTTTTTTACATAAATAAAATTAATTTATAAGAATTTTGTTAAATAAAATGTGTTACGGAGAACAAGTTTATTTAATGCACAAGATCTACTTAGCAGCGAATTTAATAAAATGTTTATATAAGTGTTGAGGTGATACGACGAATAGGATATCTCGTGATTCCGTGAGGCAATTCAATTCATATCAAGGAAGCGAATGGTATAAAATCGTTCTATTGGTTGGGTTATAGTTATTAGATCATGGGATATTCCACAATACCTTACCAGTTTCTGTAGAGATAATAATGTGCAGCATGATGTAACAAACGAATCAATTAAATTGGTCGATACAAGGTGATCATTTGATCGTACAAAAGCCGAAATTACACCAATACCGATATTAATACCTGTATTTCGCATATTGTTTATAAATATATATATGCAGTATGTATAATACTCATTGATTTCTTAAAAAACAAAATGGTGGTATCAAGATCATTTATTGTTCAAAGTTCATTTTTCGTTATACTTTTATCGTTGATTTTTAAATACTTCGGTATAAGTATTTCATCATGGAAAGAAATAAAAGATTTTCCACCTATAATTTCGCCTCTTGCTTATCAATTACTTATGATCATTATACTTCTCATATCAATCGCTTTATCATTTAATCTTCCTACCACCAAAATACACTTCTTTATTCTTTATGCATTAGCTTTTCTCCAAATTTTAATCCCAATGTTATATAACAGTAAATATCATTGTTCACTTCAAGCAGCAAGCTCGGTTGTTAATTTCGTAATTGCTTGCAAACTTTTGATATGGTTAAAAAAATGTCATTCATCCAACACACAAAAATCTGAATTCAATTCATTTTTTTCAACACTATTTATTTGGAGACCTGACGCATTAAAGATCAACAAACCAGGGAAAAGATATATTGATCAGATTACTATAAAAGATTATCTTGTTAATCAGGGACAACGTTTTGCAATAACTACATTCGAATTTTTAGTTTTTGAATATATACTTGCATGGGCTGAAACTTACAAACCAATTATCCCAGACAGAATCTATCTATTTCGATTTATTGATTATTTGTCGACAGGAAAACCATTTATTACGCCATTTTATTTATTTTACAATTATGTCCTGGCTGTAAATATATATTTATTTATTTCTTTGATTTATGATATTTTTGTTCTTTTTTCTGGATTATTGCTTCCACTACTCCAAATCATCCAACCTTCTCAAGATTCAGTCAGCAAAATTTCCAAATCTCAAAGTCAATCCATACTATCATCAAAAATACAAGAATTTAAAGAGTGGCTGATCCTTTTATTATTTTATACAAAAGTTCCACTGAATTTCCCTTTCATATCAACAAGTCCACGAGATTTTTGGTCGAGGCGTTGGCATGTTGTCCTTCGAGAAATTTTTGTAGATTTAGGTTATGATCCTGTTAAAAGTCTTTTTGGTAAGCATAAAAAATTTGTAAAGATTTTTGGAACATTGTCTGCTTTTTTTGTTAGTGGACTATTACATGAACATATAGTTTATTGTATGTGGGGTACAAGACCAGGTGAACAAATGATTTTCTTCTTGTCTCATGGCCTTTTGCTTATTCTTTGGGAAGTCGTTGAAGGTTTTTTGGTTGGAAATGGAATAGTCATAAATGAAGTAAAAGATAGTTGGGGAATATGGTTATTTAAACTGGTATTATTTAATACTATCGCTATATTTACTATTCCTTTATTTATGGAACCTTATCTTCGTAAAGATTCTTTTGTTTGTATGATTCAGGTCGGATTGTTTCACAATCAAATAGGATTAAGTTAACAATTAAGAGGACTGAAAATTCGGAGCAAAAATGAAATAAAATATTTAGGGAGTGTGAATAAATATTATTTAGACCGTATAATAACTTACATTAATTTAGATATTGCTCGTGCTAATCTTTTAGCTATTTTAATCAAAATAAAACTACAGTTACTTCAATTTTCATAATGAGACTTTATAAATCGTGACTGTAGCATTTAATATTGTTGCACTTTTTTTTTGATAATTTCATTAAATAAAATTACAGCAATTTCACGTTTCAGTTTTACTAACTTTTAACATGCTTAACACACGAAATTTTTTTTCATGAAAGCATCTAATATCTGTACGATTACTGTATAAAAGATAATAGTATTTGAATTATTATTTTTAATATTTCTCAAATAAGGAAATAAATATATACCGTATACTTCAGTACTTCTGAAATTAAGCACCACCTCGGGGATCTGCATAATTTGAGTAATATATAAAGTAGTATAGTAGGAAACATAAAAATAGTAGCGTAGGACAATTTTAAGTTCTTATACTCATACGTATATTTAATAATCATACTTATCAAACTTGTAAGTAGAAAAGATGACCATACTTATAAGTATAATAAGTATAAAGACGATCATACTTGTAAGTCGTACGTACGTACCTGTGCGAAACGAACATTTTACGGATGATCGGAACCAAGATCGGATGCATAATATAGCGTGACGAGTGATAAATTAGTGATTAATTAAAAAGTATAAGGTAACGAAAGTGAAGTTTAATATAGAGAAACGACATAAATGATGTAATTAGTATATAATATAAAAGATAAAAAGAAAGCGATAGTTTTAATAAATACGCATAAGTAAAAGGAAAATTGATAATACATAATTTAGAAGGCGGTATTTCAAATGAAGCCTGCAACATTATAGATGTAGAATTATTTATGTAATATTTTTCAGTTTAATAATGCCGAAATATTTTGAATAATCGTATGATATGTGCGTGTGTATGTTGTACGTAATATTTTTAAATAATTAAGGCTATCAGTGTAAAATGCATATTTTTTCGCATTTACTTCTTGAGATGGATGATCTTGGTTCTCAAACTATCAATCCTAACTTTTATCTTATCGATGATTCTGACCTTCACACTAGCAATGACCCTGGCTTTCACATTATTGATGAGTTCGAAACTATTTATGAAGATCTAGAATCCTTCGAAAATACAAGTATATTGGTTTCTTCCGATGATGAACATCAAGAGATTGATGATAATAT